ATATTGTCCAATGATTTCTGTATTCTGTTGAGTCACATCTCTTTGGAATGGGAACAGATACAGATCTCTTCCAATCAGTTAGACAGATAGTTGTATTCCAAGTTTCTTGGCATAGATGAGTGTGTGCCTCCAGTGCCACCTCACTTTCTTGAAAGATTACAATTTGTATTCCATTAATTCCTGGTGGAATTACCATCTTCACCTGCTTAGTGTCTTGAAAGTAGCCCTTTGAGGACAGAGATTCATCTTTGATGAATAATGAAAAAAGCAGTTTAATTGTGGTTTGTATCTCAGCCTAAAACATTTAAAAATAATGGAATACAAAAGCTTGCTAAGAGAAATATGAAGTGTATTAAAAAGTAAGGAGATTATGTTTAAAATGATGTATTTGTCTTTTCTAAAATTTGATTCAAATAAATTCTACAGTGGATAATTTTGACTCACCCTCATATATTAGTTAAGGTGTATTTCATTTCTTGATGCATCTTACTTGAACTCATTTTTATTGGTTTTACCCCACACCAGATACCATTTAAAACTTGGAATAGAGCAGCTTGTGAAATATCAATTCTGATTTTAATGGTTTGGGAATAACATGGTAGAAACATATGGGCTTGTATTCTGTTGAAAGAAATTTACCACACTAGATTTAGCAATTTACTGGAAAGAAATTGAACTATACCTGAATCTTGTAGGTAGCTATAGTCATAGCCCAGATCTCTGGATGAAATAAAGAAATCACCATTTCTGTAGAGAGGTATAAATGGGACCATGTAGGATTCCCGGTTATGTCCAATAGGAGCATTGGCTTCTGGATAAACTTCTTGAAGAGGACGGTACCTTCGGAGCCACTGTTCAAATATACTACAGAGAAAATGTTTATTAGTTCCACAGTAATGTTATCAGTTCCAGTGCTTAAAAAATAAATATTTGAAATTCTTTACCCTAAATAACAATATTGTTGTTGTGAAGTGCCATGAGTCGGTTCTGACCCATAGCGACCTTATATAGGGTTCTGAGGAGCAGCTAGTGAGTTTAAACCACCAATTGCAGTTCAAATGGCTTTGCAGTCTGGCGTATTAACCCACAGCACTACAATACATACCTTAAAATCCCCATGACATATTCTTCACACTTTGAAAATATGTCATAAATCACTAGTTCATTTGAAAGAAATATTAGAGGAAAACTTTGAAAAAGGAATTTCTTGGGAGATAAATGAAGCTTTCCTGACAAGTTTAGACTCTTTCAGAACACTGCAGAACAAGAGCAATTATTGGTTGAGTGACAATTGTTGAGTCATAGTTGTAAATTAAATATGTTCCTTGTCCCCAAAATGTCAACCCAGAGAACCAAAACACAAAACTAAATTGGAGTCAATACTGGATTTTGGTAAATGTTTTTTTTTTTTGGTTGGGGAAATTTCAATTATTTCAACCCTCATATCCTATTTGGTGAAGTGTCTGCATAATGAGAATTAGGAGGCAGAGCTCATCTCTCATGGTAAAACCCCTCAAAACAAAC